ATATATATATATATATATATAAACATATCTATTCCAAATTTGTCAGAAACTGTTTAATGAAAATAAGAAAATTCCTTATTCAATGTGGAGATAAGATGATACATGATAATTTATAAACATACAATTTAAATACAAGAAAGATATAACAAATTTATCTCGCATCGAGATCAGATTATTTATGCCAAATTAAATTATCTTTGAACCTGCCGTTGAAGTGAAAAATAAAAGTCCGCGAAACGAGAATAGTACAGTAGTTCGTTTCAATTGAAATTCCCGCCATAACCTCGAAAATCCTTCCCCGCCTACACGCGGGAAAACGATTTAAATTCGCATTACACCGCGCATAAATGAAAATCTGAATTCCGTTCAAGCGCCCCGGAACGGAATGAAAAAAAAAAGAGAATCGCAGAATTAATTTGCATAGCTAACGTGAAAGCACCCAATAATACAGCGCGCAGAACGAATGCAAATTGTAGCCAATGGCGTCGTACGGGGCGCGCGCATTTCGAAATCCCCCGCTGCGATTGCATCGCATCGTCCCGTCTGCGCCACACACCTTAGTGAAAAAAACTCTAATTTGCCTCTGTTATGTTGAAGAGGACAGCCGTCTTGACTAACTAGGTTCTCGAGATGTCCCATTCTCCGAGAATAGACACGCTGATGAGCTGACTTCTCGAGTTCTGCAAAGGCAGACAAAAGCTTCTCTCTGCCCGTGGTACATCCTCCGCCGCTATCCTTTTATCTGGGTCACGCGACAGTTGTGTTGGCACTTTTTCTCCATCCTCTCACCCCCTCGCTAACTCCCTTCACGCTCGAGAATATTACGTATCGCGAACATATCGAACACCACGTCCAAACCCCCCACCTTTTTCATTCTTTCTTTCTCCATCTAGTTTCAAACTATGCACGTACGTACGTGACAGTAGTGATCTCATAACTGACCACACTCTGGACTATTATCGTCACCAATTCTTGAAATTCGAAACATAGAGTAGGGCCCATAACCGACCATACTTTTTCGACTCGTAAGCGTAGGGACTATCAATTTCTCTTTCTTTCGATGCCAATTCGCCAGAATATCACCATCCCTTAAGGGTCCATTTTCGGCCGCGACTGTTGGTCAGTTACGAGGTCACTACCGTATGTTCGACCAAACGACACGAACCGAAAAGAAACGAGGGTGGAGGGGAATCCACTGACGATCGACC